GCAACAGCATATATTATATTTTTTATTATAATTCTTTTGTACTATAATGCCATAATGCTTAATGTTATAGTGTTGAAATATTTTACTGCAAACTTTAATATTCTTTTAAGTCAGAAATTATTTTACTAATTAGATATTTATTTACCATTATGCATTTGATGTTTGTAAGTAAATTGTGTATTACAGCTGTATTGTATATAAAACAGATAGCTAAAGATTAAATATTTATTATAATGAGCAATATAAAAATTTAAATAATTGTCATATACAAATTATTCTAAGATGGTTAAGTACAAGCTATTATAATAAGTTTGAAATTTTTAATATTTATATAATTTTTAATAGCATAGCCATTTATTTTTTAGTTAAAATTAAACTAAGTAAAGATTTTTAAAAATAAAATAGTTATATGATACAGTTGTAGTAAAAACTAGAAACAAAAGCAAATATAGTATTTTTATTCTTAATAGATGTTGATAGATTGAAATTTTATATTATCAAAAGCTGTTTTATATAGTAATATTTTCTATGTTTTTTTTAATAGTAAATTACATATAAACTAATTTGGCTCAACTATTTTGCCATCAAGATTGACTTAATTTAGGACTAATTTATATTTAATATTGTTATAAGTAGGTTGTTAGCATATTCTATCAAATTTGATTAATTTAAATAGTCATATACTTTGAAAGATAAACATCATATTAGGTACAACTCATCATTTTATTAATAGTTTAAACTTATTAAACAAATAAATCTATAAAATTGTTAGATTAATGCAGATGACATATAGCATTAAAAAAAATTAATACAGTAATTTGATATCACTTATCTCATTCAATTTGTAATTCTACATTGTTACATAACTTTGTGAAGATAATTATTTATGAAGTTATAAAATAATGTTGAGTCTCAAATTGAAGGACAAAAATAATATATTATGTTATTCAATATATGTATAGCATTTAGAATCAGTATTTGCTTAAAGCATTTATTTAAATAAAAAGTAAATGCTGTTATAAATATATTGAATAACATAAATATTACTTTTGCTTTTAGTTTGTATAGCTATTTGACAATGTTGAATTGCAGATCAAATAACCAGATCAATGTTATATAAATATCTTAATATCTTTGTAGCAAATAATTAACACATAATTTAAAAAATTGATTATACATATAAGACAGTCTAAACATTACACTTCTAATTAATTTAATAATATAAAGAATTTTAATATATTGATATATATTTATCAAAAAAATCTTTGTTAAGAAAGAACAGATTAAATATATATCAAAAATAGTATACTAAGTATATAAGATATAGTTTATGAGTAAGTGAAATAATATATATAATTCTTAATATATAATTAGGTGATCTGTTATTGTAACTTTTGGTAACACTCCAAACTTTATTTTAAAAGATATATAACCATTCTGTATGCTAAATCTTGTAATGAGTTGATATGTATAGCTTATTCATCATTCAATATTTAATATTTGTTTTTTTGTGTATATATGCAACCTTATGTGTTTATTATCTAATTTTATTTAATATATAGAAAAAATAGGCTTACAAATAAGCATGCACTTCTGTAAAATTAAATATGTATTAGTAAACAATATTAATAATATAATTTTTAATCATAAAATTAGTGAATCGATATGATTTTTAACTTCTTAATGCTAAATATTTAATATTTTTTTTAGTAAATTTTTTAACAGCCTAAAGAGATAATATTCAATATTTGATTAAATGAATTTATTGATCTCATATACTGTATAATGAATTTAGTTCCTATTATGAACATTACTATTTTTTTATTGCAGCTTTTGTGATATGTCTAGTTCATAACTCAATTTTTTTCTGTTTTATTAATAAATTACTTATTTTGAATTATTTGTATTGCTGTAACTAGGATTATTTTGTTTGTTAAACTATTAATTTAGTTTTTATTTAATGACTTACTAAATTAATCTCTTAAAATTTTAGTTCTATTATATCAAAGTTCCTTATATTTTTGTTGATTTAATTAGAAATACTTGCTATTTATAATGTGGCTTTGGTTTTTTATATGTATTATATGATTCTTAACTTGATTTTTTCTTATTTAATTTATGTTTCTAGCTTTATTGTCTATTTTTAAAGATTGATTTGTGAATTACATTACTAAATGCTAGCAGAAACTCTCTGTTTTGTTAATAGTTTTAGATCTGTACAAAAAATAACTATTTACTATATTGATACCTTTTGTATACTTTAATAGTTTTGATTAGCTGCATCTAAAATATGCTGCCTGATATTATAGTATCAGCACAGCAAATAAATTAATACATTGATTTATTGCTTGATTGTAATTAATATATTGTTTAATCAATTATTGTTTTATTGCATAATTAATTTTTATCAAGTTATTGTATAATTTATTTAACTTTAGTAATGTAATAATGTATTTTTTTTGATTAGTAATATTTAAAGGCAATAGGTTTGCTCTAGAGTAGTTTCTGTTTTTTCTGCTAATCTAACTTTGTCTAATTTTTTCACTTTATACTACTTATCTTATATAGGTATTGCAACTGTATAAGGTTAAGTTCTGATGCCCTAAAGTAATAAGAAGTAAGTGCTTAAGTTTTTTATCTGGTTAAGAAGTTTCTTAGAATTCTTTTAAAGTGAAGATGACCTGTTATGACAACAATTACTTAAATATTGTAAAATGAAGTGACCTGCTGAAACAGCAGTCATAAAAATAGTCATAATTGTTAGTTTATTATATTTGATATATATAAATAATGTTAGCAATTAGCAAGAAAAAAATAATCTTGTTAAATCAATCAATACTCTTAAGTTTTGTACTGTGGGTTGTATAGCACAAAGCAGATAGGACAGAATACTCATAATTGTATTTTATAGTTTTTTTTGTTAATACAAAAACTTGATCAAATTGTGGGAAAAAAACTTGGATTACTAACTATAACAAATGAACATAATTATATTCTGTTCACTTTAATGATTGTGTTTTAAGAAAATGTATAATTAACCATAATTATTTAATTATTCAATAATTTATCAGAATATGAAGGTAATTCTATTCACTTTAATAATTGTTTTTTAAGAAAATGTATTATTTATCATAATCATTTAATTGTTTAATAAATCAACAGTATGAATATAAAGTTTAATTCTGTTCATTTTAATATTTGTGTTTCAAAAGAATGTATGATTAACTGTAAGCATTTTTTTAATAAATCACCAGCCGAGTATATAGTTTTATTCTATTTATTTTAATATTTGTGTCTTAGGAGAATATATAATTAACTGTAACTATTTAATAAAATTGCTAGTATGAGTATTAAGTTTAATTCTATTTACATTAATGTTTATGTTTCAAGATAATGTATAATTATTTATAATTACTTAATCATTCAATAATTTACTAGTGTGAGCATAAAATTTAATTCTGTTTGCTTTAACAATTATATTTCAAAAAAAATATATTATTAATTATAACTATTTAATCATTCAATAAATTACAAATGAGTATAAAGTTTAATTCTGCTGCTTTAATATTTAAGTTTTAAGAGAATGTATAGCTAACTATTAATTATTTAATCAGTCAATAAGTTAACAGTATAAGTATGAAGTTTAATTCTGTTCACTTTAATGATTGTGTTTCAAGAGAAAATATAACTAACTGTAATTATATAATCATTTAATGAATTACTAATGCAAGTATAAAGTTTAATTCTTTATGTTTCAAAATAATATATAATTAATTGTAATTATTTAATTATTCAATAAATCACCAGCATGAATATAAAGTCTAATTCTGTTCACTTTGCTTTAATATTTGAGTTTCAAGAGAATGTATAATTAACTATAATTATTTAATTGTTCAATAAATTATAATGTGAATATGAAGTTTAATTCTATTTACTTTAATAAGTATGTTTTAAAAAAATATATAATTAGTAATGATCATTTAACTGGTTAATAAATTACCAGCATAACTATAAAGGTTAATTCTATTCACTTTAATGTTTGTATTTCAAGACAATGTATAATTAATCATAATCATTTAATTATTCAATAAATTGCCAGTATGAGTATGAAGCTTAATTCTGTTCACTTTAATATTTGTGTTTTAAGAAAATGTATATATGATTCTATAATTATTTTAATCATCCAATAAATTAACAAAAGTATAAAATTTATTTCTGTTCATTTTAACAAATTAATCATAATATTTAATTATTCAATAAATTACTAGAGTGAGTATGAAGTTTAATTCTGTTACTTTAAGCATAAGGGTTAATGTGATAATTATAAACTATTGAAACATAACATGAGTAAAAGGATATATACCTATACTCATAAACCCAACTCATCCCAAATCTAACTGCTAAGTCGATCGTATGTTACATGACAATTCAGTTTGTGAAGTGACAGAATTGCAGCAGAGACTATTAACATTACACATATATTAAAACTGGTGAGGAATTATATTCATCACAATTGAATCTAACATAAATGATTTAATTTGTGATTGATCACAGGTGAGAGGGATTTACCTTGGATTAAGCACTGTCTCTGCTGTATAACAGACTCAAAATTGTTGATGTCATTAGTATTTAGCATTGTGATGTGCTACTTTTCCGTTCCTGGTTTCACGCGACAACAGCGCGCAGCTACTTATTAATTAAAATACTTGAACTACATGATTATCTTTTGCCAGTAATGACTTTGTTAATTAGAAATGGCGTGAATTCTAATCCAACACATTTAAATTCATACAAATTCAATCTCTAATTAGGATATTACGACATTACGACATTACGACATTACGACATTGCGGCATTGCACATTACGGCACAAAAGTTTTAAGGCATTGGATGCTATGCCGTAATGCCGTAATTCAGTAATTCTACTAACAACTATACTCGGAATGTTCCTTCTCAAGATTATTTATTTCTCAAATTGATTTTCTGTTATCTGCATAAGAATGGACTTTGAAGCAGATATCCAGAATAACGGATTTCGGATCGCATCACTAGGTCAAATTGTAGCCGCTAATCGCTATTTTCTTCTACAGGAGGAACCAACCAAATATGGAAATCATTTCAATATTAGGTTGGTCCCTCCTGTATAAGACAGAATTTGACCAATACTACGCTTACCATATTCTACTGTAAATAAGCACCATACCCTCTACCCCTTTTTTTAAATACCAGATTAGCAGAAATAACTTGGCTAAAGATCTCATTGCGATGTCTGTTAATCTGATATTTAAAAAAATGGGTAGAGGGTGTGGTGCTAATTTACGGTACAATACGGTATCCGGCGTAAACATAGCATAGATGAAGTTCGTTATGATTGGCTAATAAATTTTAAAAATGGTCACCAAAATTAGTGATTATGATTACGTGTATTTGTAT